GCTTGAAAAAAAAAAAAAAAACGCACTGCCATCAAGCCAATTCAACTGATAGCAACCACTCCTTGGGTTTCCCCGGCACTATCTCTACGGATAGATTGCCGAGTCTTCCTTCTGAGGAGTGGCTGGTGGGTTTGAATTGCCAGCGATTAGGCCTATTTTTATTCCAAATAATAAGGTCCATCCATACTCCACATCACATCTGAAGCCCTTGTTCTCTTCTCTCCCATGGACTTGGGCTTGTTTCAGCTCCTCCACTTACTAGCTCTGTTGCCTCAGACAACCTCTTTGAACCTCAGCTCTGTCACCTGTGAAATCCCACTGCCTTCAAGTCAGTTCTGACTCATAGTGACCTCTATAGGGTTTCCAAGACTGTATATCTTTAGAGAAGTAGATTACCTCATCTTCCTCCCATGGAGAAGCTGGAGGTTTGAACTGCTAACCTTGTGGTTAGCAGCCAAATGTCTTATCTACTGCACCACCAGAGCTCCTCACCTGTAAAACTTAACTACTTAAGTACAACCACATGAAGATATCACAATGAGATGGGGATACCTGTGTTGGTCCATTGTGAGTGGTAGAGATTTATTCCATTCAATGTATCCTCCCGGATGAGTCTAGTGTCACCACTTCTTAGGCTCTGCCACCTATCTGGAGCCCTGGTGTTTAAGCACAAGGCTGCTAACTGAAAGGTTGGTAGTTCAAGCCCACCAGCTGCAGAAGAAAGATGTGGCAGTCTGCTTCCATCAAGATTTACAGCCTTGGATACCCTATGTGGCACTCCTACCCTGTCCTATAGGGTTGCTCTGATTTGGAATTAACCCAGCAACAGTGGTTTTCGTTTTGTGGTTTGCAACATGTCTGCTCCAGCAGTCAGCAAAGAGCAGCAACCCCTTCCCCACCAAACTCTACTCCAGAAGGCACCAACGAGGAACTTTCTAGAAATGAAGTTCTCTGGCCCCATCCCAGACTACCAGAGTGTGGAACACCTGTGGTTTGAGTAACTTAATATAAATTAGTACTCGTTGCTAATAGAGAAGTAGGAACATTCATTACCTTTGTAGTTCTGAGGAAGGATTAATACCTCCATCAAGAATATATTGGCTACATGCAATATGGTAGAGGGCCAGCTGTCTGTCCTTTAATGGATATTCTAGTGAGGGTTTCAGAACCATTGCCCTATTTAGATCATTCTCTCTTTCTGGCACCTTCTCCAAGTTCTCTAAATTCTTTCAATCCCTTTGCACCTTCCATTAACCCACCCCCATTAGCATCTTTCCTGTAGGCTGTTTTGTCCATAAGTCAGTCCCCAAAGAAATTGTCCACTGGAATAAAATTCTAACCAATGAGGAGAGGAGGGAGATACCCTCCATTGCTGGAGTAAATAAAAGGACCCCAAGATTCCCCTCTACTATGATCAGCTCATGCCTTTGGTGGAGCTACAAGGTACCTCTGCTTCCCAGCTGTGCTTTCCATTAAAATAGGCCCCCACCTGTTGCCGTTAGGGAGCTCTGGTGGCCTAGTGCCTAAAGCATTTGACTGCTAACCAGAAGGTTGATGGTTCAAACCCACCAGCCACTCCCCAGAAGGGAGGTTGGGCAATCTACTTCCATAGTGATACTGCCTCAGAAACCCAAGGAGGGGTTGCTGTGAGTCAGATACAACTCCATGGCATTGACTAGATTTTTCACACACAGAAACAAACAATGAAGTAAACCAACCTAATAATGTCTTTATAAGTTCTTAATGGTCTGCTTCTGTCTGGGCCAAAGGGTAGGTACATTTTTCATGCAGGCAAATTTCAGCTCTGTAAAATATTTCAGTAAGTTGGGAACTTTCTCTTTGAAAACTGTTTCAAACTTCTCAAAGAAAAAGAGTCCTTTGAATCAAAAAGCTTCTGATTCCTCAGTCAGTTGGAAATGAGGGACCTTGAAGACTTTCTGAAGGCTCCCTTTCTCAGTGGTGACAAGACGCAGGCCATGTGTTAGGAATTCCACGTGCTCTAGTTCAAGAGTGGCATTAGAGGTCCATCCTAGAAATGGTAAGCCACCGGCGCATCCAATGCAACTCTCAAAAGAAAGAATGTAGACTTCATAACGAGAATATAGGACTGGTAAGCAATAGATACAGGCTGAAGCCACCCAAATGCATGACAACTGTCTTCTCCTTAGGAATTCTACAGTCTCTGTTTTACAGTTTGTATTAGAGATCCCTTTGGCTTATCATTTCTAGGGCATATTTGTTGAAGCCACCATATGCATTACAACTATGTTCATGATAAACCTTTGGGAAAAGCAATCGAAGTGTGTTGTTGGAAAACTTGAAAGGGGTGAGCCTGGAAGAAGCTTCCTTTGGTGACCACCGTGGAGGTTGCTGACTGCCGATGCATCCTTTTGCTTTGCAGGAATGTGAGTTCGGCCGGAGAGGAGGCCCGCCGGAGGATGCGGGAGTGTGATGGGCTCACAGACGCGCTGTTGTACGTGATTCAGTCTGCTCTGGGGAGCAGCGAGATCGATAGCAAGGTTTGTTGGATTTTCCCAGGTTGAAGATGCTGGAGAATAAGGGTGCCCAAGGGACTAGACTGGCTTAGAACGATGGAGAACGAGTGCAGTATTGAATACTTTCCTTTGAAGCCTACTGCCTTTGAATGCATCCCATACATTCTTGATGGGGGTACTAGACCTAGCCTAGAACTTCAGAGGTGCCACCCCTAACTCTAATGAGTCATACTTTATAGTAACTTAGTGAAACCACAGGTGTTCTGGATGAAGTGTGTAAACTTTGGCATACCACATTACCCACCAGTCTCTAGTTTTTATTGTATAGAGTCTACTTTTAAGAGAAAAAGGGATTTTAAAGCTACCTGAGTTGAATTTTCCAACATTCTTATAAATTAGCTTTTTAACAACTGTTAATTGTATCAAATGCCAAAAATACGTTGCAGAATCTAAGTAGATGAGACTGTCAAGACATGCAAATCATCAATGTCTCTTCGATACATTAGTTGATAATCAAAACAGAAACAGGTGGACTCTCCCAGTGTCTGATCTGTTTGGTTCTATCTGAATTATATTAGCTTCAATCTACTCTGCATGGTATTAGTTTTAATCTACTCTGCATATAAATATATACAGTAATTTCATAATATCCTGATATAAATGTAGGCTTTACCAATACATGTTTAAAGTAATTAATGTGGTAAGTGTGATACTTTCATACCAAATTTCTCACAAGTGGCACAGTTCATATTTTGGGCCAGATACCTTTGGTTTCAGCACACTGTTCTGTACATTGTAGGATGTTTAGCAGAATCCCTGTCCTCTACCCACTAGATACCAGGAGCATCCCCTCTCACACCATGACTACCAAAAATGTATGCAGACATTACCATACATCCTATGAGGAGCAAAACTGGCCGTTGTTGAGAACTACTGCCTTAATCCCATCATCTCCATCTCCAATTCCACATCCGAAATGCTGGTAGGACTTTTAGCTCATTCCTATAGCAGACCACATCACTGCCCTTCTGAATGTGAAAGTCTAACTCAGTTTCAACAGTTGATTTGATGAGCATCTTGGATTAAGAACCCTGATTTAGGAGATGCAGATGTGGAACACAGTGTCTAATCAGGGATGTAGTAGAACGTACTTCAGTTACACTCTAAAGTCAGATAAGGAACAAATGAGATTGCTTTCATCCATTCCATCATTAGTTGGCATTGGAATAATTGTGCATAATAGTTGTCAGCCTTGATGGCACATTATAGTCACAGAGAGCCCTACCTATCCCCAGATTAGGATTCAGTCCACATATCTGCTGGGACACAGTTCAATCCATAAAAGACATATAATTTTTAAAAGAGCTGCTGAAGCCAATTCAATGAGACAGGAGTGCTGAGGATCTGAATGTTCAAAAATTATAATATGGACTGATGCATTGGGACACTAGGCCTCTTACTGAGAAAATACCAAAAGAGATTTGCGTGATCTGGGCCTTGAAGATGACAATAAAATAAGTGTCCACAGCCTCTCTCATTAGCCAAGAGCCCATTTTTCTATTGCACATGTTATGGCAGTCTTCAGGAGAAGGTTGTGTGACCAAAGTGCTCACTGGCAGACATATCCTTTTTCTAATAGTCAGATGGCCAGACTCCTAGAGGAGTTAGGATACTTGCAGGGTCATCTCTTAATATCCACATGTTCCTCCCACTAAGAAACTGAAACTACTGGGACTCTTTATGGTTGGGAGACTTCTCTGGGTGGTGCAAATGGTTCATACATTCTGTTACTGACCAGAAGGTTGGAGGTTCAAGTCCACCCAAAGGCACCTCAAAAGAAAAGACTGGCAATCTAGTTCTGAAAAACCAGCTACAGTTCTACTCTGGTACCCATCAAGTTGCTGTCAGTTGGAATCAACTCAAAGGCAACAGGTACTAGTTATTCAGGGCTGAGTGAGAAGACCCAGATACTATTGTTGAGGAGAAAGAGCACTGAGCTTGGAGCCTTGATAGCCCTGGTAGGTGGTGCCAACCCCCACCCATTGGTTAGAGGCCAGTACTCAAATGATCTCAACTTTGTGACAGTAAGGACAATAGCTGAATGCCAAGGCTGTTCAAAGGATCAAATGTGATTCAAGGCTCAGGGCTTCATTGGCCAGAATGTGCTATTCAGTTCTGACATAGGATTATTGGATGATAATTTTCTACTCAGCCCTCTGCTTGACCGCTTCTGAGCTTTCCTGATGACAAGTTGGAGGAAAAATGAGTGCACGTTCTCTTTAAGGCCAGGAAAGTTAATGAATCAAAGAGCCCAGGTTCCATACACGCTCCCTGCTGGGCTCTTGTAACTGGGACAGTTTGTTGAATGGGGAGCGTATGCTACAGCAGACCACAGACAACTTCCAAATTAGCCCTTTCTGATAGAAAATAAGGAGTCAGAATGACCAAGAGGGACTGCGAAAAGCACCACAGGTAGGAATGGATGTCAAACGAAATGACCAGCTGGTCCCAGCCTTCCGCTCGTGTCCCAAGGAAGGAGCTGTACTTTTCTTGCCTTTTTTCACCACCCCTTTAGAGAAAAAGCCTTGAATGGTGGCCCTCCCTGACCAAGATCAGCTGCAGAACCTCCAGAAAGTGTAATGAGAGGCAGAGTTCAATCCCCGTGCCCTCCCTCCCCTAGCTCTGTACAGTCTCTTCTCACTCCTGCTCACCTTCCCCCACCCTCCTCCCTCTCCCCTCATCTTCTTTCCAGCCGCAGGTAGATTGTAAAGCATGGCCCTGGAAACTACGCATTTATGCCCCAGCTCTCATTTGTTAAAAGAGGAACGGCTGGATGAGAAGGCACTTTTTTTTTTCTCCCAAGGCTTTGATGTAAGAAAAATCAGTTAGAGCTGATTTAAGGATCGTCCTGACTTATGCCATGATAGTTTTCTTTCAATGTGAGATATCCTTCCTTTCATGGGTCAGTCATCTTGTGATCACCTGCTTTCAGGTCGGCCCCTTGTTTGATGCTGAAAGGGTGCTGGAAATAGAAAATCAGGTATACTGAAAGCCTTCGGGATTAGCAGCCCATGAAACCTTGAATTGCTGACAGAGAAGTCTGGAATGAGAATGCTCCAGAGATGGATCCTGAAAATTGGCTTTCCTGCTTGATTTGCATGCTCTCAGTAATAACGTCAAGGAGAAAAGGAGAGAGCAAAGGGGTAGAAAGAAGAAAGAGGAAGAGGAGAGAATGGGGAGGTTAGGGGAGTGGGGAGAGAACAAGCCAGAGCCTGACCAGAACATCCTTTTATATACTGGATGCAGGCCACACCCCTAACAAAACTCCCCTTTCAACTGATTGGCTGCTTACATCAGATCACAAAATGGGAGGTGATACATAGTATCTGCCAAACCACTTCCATCTGCCACCTTACTTCCCCTTTTCTCTGTAGCATGACATATTCACAGATGCCAGGGATTAGGGCATGGACATCTTTGAGAGGACATTATTCAGCCTACCACACATGCGTATGTTAGCTCAGCTAATCTCACAACACCCCTAAGATGCAGGTGCTATTATGATGCATTTCACAGAGGAGAGAACTGAGGCCCAGAGAGGTTAAGTGCATCATCCACAGTAACAGCCACTTGGCCAATCATAGACCCAGTGTGTTACAGCATACACCCTTAACTTCTCTCTAACTCCTGTGCTATGGAAATAGGAGCCTCGACCATCTACAAGGAGCAGAGTGAAATGAACACATTGAGGCCCATAGGTGACCCCAGCACCTGGCTCATCTGGGACCACCTGGTTTCTACTAGTTGCCCCATTTTCCTCCCAGGAAGTGTCCTGGTGGTGAATAAATGCTAGTGTCACCTATGCAGAGCTGGCCAAGATGCAATTATCCCTCCCCTGTATGACTCCCAGGCCCACGCCCCAAGCAGGAGTCGTCTGTCAATGGAGAGATGTTGGGAACATCTCGTCGTTGTATGTTTTCCCCCACTGGTGAGTGCACTTCAGTTGACAATAGTAGATGTTTGTGAAGTAATTGCTGTTGATAAGTAGCTTCTTTGGGAAAGAAGATTGTTCCAAGGTTTTGTAAATACTTTCCACCACAGGTGCCAGGAGAACCTTTAGAAACCAGCAGTTAAGCATATCCAAGGAAGTGTGCACACACACACGTGGGTTTGCGTGAGTGCATGTGTGTATGTGTGTGTATATATTGTGCTCTTTTCTAGGAAAGTATTGTGCCCTTTTCTAGGAGAGAGCATGCTGGTGAGTATTCATTCATTCCTCCCTGTGTCCTTCTCTTCTTTCTTGGGGTCCTGCAGACCGTTGAAAACTGTGTGTGCATCTTAAGGAACCTCTCCTACCGGCTCGCAGCAGAGACTACTCAGGGACAGCACATGGGCACGGATGAGCTGGATGGGCTGCTCTGTGGCGAGGCCAATGGCAAGGATGCAGAAAGTTCCGGGTGCTGGGGGAAAAAGAAGAAGAAAAAGAAATCCCAAGACCAGGTGATGTGTGCTACTCTCAGCTGCATGCAATTATCCCCTTCCCTTGTTAGGGCATGAATGTCTTGTCTGCATGTATAGACGGGAGGGCTCCGGGTTGCAGTGTGTGGTCATGTGACTGGCTTGTCTGCCATCTTCCTGTGGGAATTTCACAGCTGAGGCAATGAAACAGTCAATGACAGCCCCACCCTCACCTCACTCCCAGTCTTGCAGCTGAGCCAAGATGGGAAATTGCAAAATGAGAAAAAGTCACTGGAGTTGAGTTAGACCCCACATTGATTCTTCTGTGTGTTGATTAGCACATTTATTGAGATCCTTTCCAGGGCCAGGCAGGGGCTCAGGCAGACAGTGGGGTGTACCAAGTACGTGTAATGGTGTCTGCAGGGAGGCTGAGGAGAGCCACAAAGTCCAAATCCCACACCCCTTTTGTAAACCCAGAAAACGCCCTGACATTGAGTAGATACCAACTCATAGCAACCGCCAATGGGTTTCTGAGGCAGTAAGTCTTCATGGAAGTAGATTGCCTGGTCTTCCTTCCATGGACTGGTTGGTGGGTTTGAACCACCAGCCTTCTGGTTAGCAGTCATATGCCTTAGGCACTGTGCTATCAAAGCTCCTTACCCCTCCTTTTGTAGCGAGTTTTAAAACATTTGGATGTACAGTCTTGCACCTTCCATTGGAAGTAGGGTGACAATCTGAGAATTCAGAGCTGTTTCCAACAGAATGTCATGAGTAGCCTGGCCTGTGGGCCATTCAGGTGGATTCAGAAAGGTGGGCAGCTGCAGGGTCCTTCTCAAAACACAATGACCTTTACCTGGTGCAGCTGGAAGCAGGTGGCACTGCTGGGAAGTGAATGCCACATAGCCACTGCTCTTTACCTGGGGATCAGAACCGCCTCCACCCCTCTCCCTGAGCCATTGGGAGGCCATGCCTCACCTAGACTGCCCCGCAAGGTGTGGGTGTAGGTTGAAGACACTGCCCACTCATTTACCAGCCAGGAACGCTATTGACAAGGTTTTCCCACTTCCCCTGCAAACTTTGCTCAGACTCCAGCTGCTGAGGGCCCCTAGCCTCAGCCTCAGCCTGTCGTTGGGAGCAGAACACTGAGGTAGGGGGCAGACCCCAGAACTTACCCACACTCTCTCTCTGTCCCTCTCACTTCCTCTTTCTCCAGGTTCTGGTTTATTGTAAACATGCAGACATGTTTGTTTATGTTCAACCATATTGTTCTCTAAAGTATTTTAGAAATAGTTCAGTGTCCAGTGCGGGTTAACCAAACCCACTGCCACTGACTTGATTCTAAATCACAGTGTCCCTGGAGGGAAGAGCAGAAGTGCCCTGTAGGTTTCCCAAGGCTGGAAATCTTCACAGAAACGGACTACCACATCTTTCTTCTATGGAGCAGCTGGTGGGTTCACACTGCCAACCCTTTGGTTAGCCAACGATCAGTCAACCACTGTGCCGTCGGGACTCTCCTTATAGTTATGGATAAGGGAAGTAAGGATGAATGGGGATGCATTGAATTCTTATTGAATTCTTAAATAGCACTTGAATCCATCTGTGCTAGCAGTTTCACCCAGGTTCTGGTTCTCAAGTTATTCGCAGCACCCCGAGAGCTGAGGAAGTACTTCTTACACCTTCCGTATGGAAGGCCTGACCATGCCTATAATTGAGGAGATAGGTGCTCATCATCTCCTCTTTGACCACTGCCTTCTGCTCTGGAAATGACCTCTCAGTTTAGCCTTTTCTCTCCCTGGGTCGGCGATGTCTGCTAGCCTCACCCTAAAATGGACAGGCTCTTTAAGAGGCTGTGGTTCTTAACTCAGCCACTGCCTCCAGGAGAGTGCATTGGGCAGGAGCTGGTATTTCTCAGACACCTACTGGGTGTCTTATGGCATGATGCTAGCCGCTGTCTGATTGCTCCGTTTTGCTGCCTGGTAGTTCTGGGTGCTAGGATGCTGAAAAGGTTTCAGCAGAGCATCCAGACTAAGATGGACCAGGAAGGAAGGCCTGGCCATCCATTTCTGAAAATCAGCTGGTGAAATCCCTATGGATCATAGCTTTCTGATCTGCAGCCAGCAGTGGGAATGGTGCACGGGGTAGCCACCAGCCAGAGACTCCTTGAAGCCACTGACAGCAACAACTAAAAGGAACAAACTGTCGTACCTTCTGAGCATTTTCTGAGTGACGTCAGACAACACAGGCAGACACAGGTTCAGTGGGTATTTTCATCATTTCCTTTCGGGCCCCATGTCATCCCAGATCCCAGCCCCTGCTGCGTTATGCTGCATATGTGATGTAGCACAACAAAGGTGCAAAGAAGGAAACGCAATACCTGCCTCCCAACTTCCCTGCGGATGCTGCTTGTCATCAGGGACCAGGACCTCAGTCCTCAGAAGCTCCCAATGGGACCCAGGTGACTCAGGAAGGCAAACGGAGGAAGATGCATTCATACCACATTGTTGTTGTTGTTGTTGTTATATGCTGTCGAGGCGGACCTGACTCATAGCGACCACTCCTTTGGTTTCCAAGGCAGTATCACTATGGAAGTAGGTTGCCCCATCTTCCTTCCAAGGAGTGAGGGGTGGGTCTGAACCATCAGCCTTCTGGTTAGCAGTCAAATGCCTTAAGCACTATGCCACCAGAGCTCCCCATACCACATTAGCCTTAGCTAAAAGAACTCTAAGGAGCCCTGGTGGTGCAGTGGGTAAAGACTCGGCTGCTGACTCAAAGGTTATCAGTTTGAACCCACCAACTGTTCTGCAAGAGAAAGATGTGGCAGTCTGCCTCTGTAAAAACGATAGCCTTAGAAACCCTCCAGGGCAGTTCTACCATGTGCCTACACTATGAGTATGAGTCAGAATCAACTTGATGCCAACTGGATTCCCGGAGACTGAATTCACTCTGACAGCAAGGCTTTATTTCTGGAGTTTGAGCCACTGCTCGGAATCCAAGTGCAGCTCCCTGACAGCCGTGCCTATCCCTCCTATCTCTTTTAATAAGCTCCTGCCCCAACACTGAGCCTTTTCCATAACTCTGCAAAAAGGCACAGTGATTTTAAATCTCTCCAGTGACAGCTGAGATTAGGAATTGACTGGGTTCTGAGAAGGACTTCAAGCCAGGGTAATACAGCTCTTCTTTCCAGGTGTTCGCTCCAAGAAACATGGTGGTGAAGGGTTGCCCGTGCTTAGGCAACTGCATGGGGAACCACATGTCATTGCATCGGGGTGCCCTTTTCTAAGGTGAAACTATGAATTGATTCTATGATTTGGGCAAAAATCTCAATGAAAATGTATATGGTTAATGTGTCCTTTTTCATTCCTACAGTATTCTTTCAGAGAAAAGCAAAGTTCTGCCAGAGTTAAAATGCAGTGGCATATTCTTATTTATAAAGTGGCATTGAAGCTATGGCTTCATACAAATGATACTTTTTAAAAAAAAGGTTTTTAAGTAAACTAAGTGCATAGTCAAATGTAAGATAACTGTGTTTAAGTTCCAGGAAAATCGGTGTCAAGGGAAATGAAGATGTGAACAGATTGCAATTATGCTTGTGTGAAAAACTGTTCAATGTGTTTTGTCAAGTTCAATGTATTTTAAAACAGTCAAAAGTGCAAAGCGTGTTGCATGAGAGGACTGATGGACGGGTTGCAGCCTGACAGGGATGGAGATGAGGAAGGGCAGAGTAGATAGAACATCAAATGAAGACGGAAGGGAAATGGGTGGCCCTGCCCTTCCACAGTGGACCTTCAGGGGAGAACTGAGTCTAGATGGCACCACCTGCTGGGGAAAGCTGTCATTCTAGCCAGCTGTGGATCTTATGAGGGAGTTCTGAGGAGAAAAGTGTTACTAGTTGCCATGGGGTTGAACCCAACTCATGGCTACCCCATGTGCAGAGTAGAATTCCTCCAAAGAGTTTTCAAGCTTGTGGCCTTTTGGAAGCAAATCATCAGGCCTTTCTTCAAAGCACCTCTGGGTGGGTTTGCATGGCCACCTTTTGGTAAGGAGTCAAGCACTTAGCTGTTCCCACCACTCGGAGACTCCATGGATTATATCTGGATATAATGATGGAGAGAGAGAGCAGTATTTACATGCTGCTGACATAGATAAACACTGATCAAGTCTCTAATGGATGTGTCTGTCACAAACCAAAAACCAAACTCCCCTCTGGTCGATTTCGACTCACAGGGACGGCCTTTGGGTTTCCAAGGCAGTATCTCTATGGAAGTAGATTACCCAGTCTTCCTTCCATGGAGTGGCTGGTGGAATTGAACCACTAGCCTTTTAGTTAGCAGCCAATGACATGTAAAATACATGCTTGTCTAAAATTTATGTGTTTCTAGAAAAGGTATTGACTGCTAACCAAAAGGTAGGTGGTTCGAACCCACCAACCCTTCTGTGGGAGAAAGATGAGGCAGTCTGCTTCCATAAAGATTTACAGAGTTGGAAATCCAGCATGGGTCACTGAGTCAGAATCAACCCAATGGCAGTGAGTTTTGGGAAAAAAAAAAAAAAAAAGTATGGTAACATCAAACAGGAAATAGAATGATTGATTCTTTTTTGAACTATTTATTTATAAATTTTCTACCCTGCACATTGCATTTACAGTCTTTCACAACGTCACTTAAACAGTATTCACAAAGGCTCTACGTGGCTAAGGAATGTGTGCTTTAAACTAAGTCCACCTTTTTCTCTTAAATTTGAGACACCTCAGGGGAAAACATAAGGGGCTGTGTGGAATGACAGGTTTTCTCTTTCATTGCAAACCGTCTCAGGATGGGGGTGAAGGGGCGTAGAGATAGTAACAGGAAGCAAAGCTGAGGATAGTTATCATTGGTTTAATAGTTCCCTCTGACATTTGCCTGTTCCCAGAAATGGAGGACTCTTGTGTTGATTCTGAATGTCAAGAAACTACTGTAACACTTTGCAGGTTGAGTAGAGTTAGGATACAGCTCTTTGAAACCATTTCTTTTAAACCCCTGGAAGGGATGAGTCAAGAACATATC